TATTTAAAGGTTATTTTAGACCTCTTAATCATGGTATGTAAAATTACCTAAAAAAGTCTAAAAACCCCAATGCAGTTGATTACCCACAGTCAAATTAAACGCTGTTCTTCACATACTTTGCCGAGTATATCGCATGTTTGGGGTCTCATTGAAAGATAACCACTCTAAAAAACACAGCTGTCGATGGGCATTTTTCTAAATGGTGCCTCCAATGGTTGAGATGGACAGTAAAGAATCGTGTTACCAGAGTGAGGATATATTGGACCTTTTGAGCCAATGAAACAGGACTGCTTTTGTTGGATTGATTACTGTATTCCCAGGACTTACAATGAGGGCTTCTTGGTAAGTTGGCTCAAGTTTTATGAGTTGCAGTTGGCTTGGACTAGTATTTGAGGCGTAATCTTCTGAGACCAGCATGGTCTCAATTGAGCTGTTGGTGGATGTAGTATCCCCTAAAGCGTTTTGATTATTTTTATAACATAAAAATAGATAGTATATTCTTATACCGTATTCTTTCCTAATATAACGATCCCATAAGATGAACATAATTGACATGTTGGGTTTATATGTTTTTGGTGAATTAGAACATCTCTTCCTTCATTTAAACATTAATAGCCCAACAAGGTATAAAACACAAATTTATGAATCAACAGATGAATAAATTCTGTAAACCTAGAGTCTGTTCCTTGGACAAAAACTAATGAACGACACAGAAATCAGCAGAAATATTCATAACAAAGTGGAAAAGATTTCAGTGAGACGCTGCTGCCACCCAGTGGAAAACAGGGAAAACGCCTTCCAACCCCTCAAAAAGAGGCATTCCATTGGTACTCCAACTGTAATCACTTGAGGTCTCTCACAGCCAGCGTCGTTGTACCAAGCTTCAGACAATGCACAACTATAACAGATTGCTTTATTTGTAATTGCATTGCAGAAAATAAAACAACATTCAGCTGTGTTGTGTTATATAAAAGACGGGAAAAGTTTATATGTAAAATATATATATGTAAAGATATAAGAACAGAAAGTTGGGTCTCAGAAGATAATAACCTTACACAGAACACACCACCTCCAGTGGTAAACTCATAATACATTATACACAATATGGACAAAAATGAATTAGAAAAATGTAATCATTAATTCTACAGTTTTACTTAAGATAACTTTTAAACATTGCCATTAAAAAAAAAGTGCAAAGGACCAGTGTGTGGGATTCAGTGGCATCTAGCAGCAAAGTTACAGACTGCAAACCCCTCACCTCACCCCCCCGATTCTAAGCATGTAGGAGAAACTGTATCCAGTGTTTGGTTTGTCCGTTCTGGGCTATTGTAGAAACATGGCGGACTCTGTAGAAGTCAAAGTAACAAAAACATGGTTCTTATTTTCAGGTGATTATACACTAATTAAAATTTACCTATGGATATATTTTTATAAATCCTCCTAAATGTTACACACTGGACCTTTTAAGGTCTCTGAGTAAATTCAACACATTGTCTAAAAGACTTAATTTGAACCAAATAACACAAATACAATATCAGCAGTGTTACAGAATCAATTCAAGCCCTTCAGAGCCCATTAAAGTAGAAATAAATTGCATTATTGGGAGGCAAGTCATGTCATTTAATTAAAAACAAAATCACTTTTTAAAACAAATGTTGACCATAGTGCTGTAAAGGTGACAAAGACTTTTAGACAACTTAAATCCACATTAAATAAAATACAAGCACAGTTCTTGGAAAACAATGAAATAATGTAGACACAAATAACAGAATTTAAATTATCACATGACTCCATCTTTTATTATGATTATTTTTTAGTCTGCATCTCAGTTTTGAACAGATCAGAGTCCTGAGTTTTGCTCAGAAAGATTCATTTACTTCTGCTGCTCTCGCCAACACACTTGTGTTTTTTGACATGAGCGAGTTGAGTGAATCTTTTATCACAAACGCTGCATTTAAGCGGTTTCTCCCCCATGTGAACGGACACGTGTCGTAGCAGATTTCTCCCCTGCGTGGATGGTAAAGTGTTTTTTCAGATGTTCCTTTCGTGAAAACGTTTCACTACAAACTGAACAACTGAATGATTTCTCCCTGGTGTGAACTTTCATGTGTTTGGTCAAAGTGCTGCTGTCAGCAAAACTTTTTTTACAAATTGAGCAGGCGAAAGGTTTTTCTCCTGTATGACCTCTTAAATGCGAGGTCAAGTTTCCGTTTTGTGCGAATCTTTTACCGCAGAAGGAACAGCTGAAGGGTTTCTCCCCCGTGTGGATTCTCATGTGCATCACAACGTCTCTTCTCCATTGAAATGTTTTATTACAAACGGAGCAGCTGAAACGTTTCCCCTCTGAATGAAGTCTCATATGATCCGTTAAGGATTTCTTCCAGGAGTATCTTTTACCACAAACTGAGCACCTGAATGGTTTCACTCCTGTTTGGACTCCATTGTGTTTCTGACTACGTACAGTGTCACATCCCACATCACTTACATGTTCTTCATTGTTCTGCAGACGGTTTAAATCCGACTGAGGTTCTCTGACGTCCTCCTTATCACAGCTGTCATCAGTCTCAGGTTCAGAGGAGTGTGACGTCTCATCATCATTATCTGGTTGTAAATGATCTGGATTCAAGTTCCTGTCTGGTTCTGGTCCTCCACAGTCCTCTCCATCAGCTTCTGATTTCAAATGTTCATCTCTGTTCTCTTCAGGCTGGCTCTGATGAAGTGACTGAGGGTTCTCTTCATCATCCTCTTCACTCTTTACAGGAGTGACTGTGAACTCGGTGATATCAGCCTCCTCCAGCCCTCGATGCAGCTCTCCCTCCCAACTGATCCAGAGTTCCTCCTGTTCCTCTT